TAAGGTTTTAAACAGTCTAAGCTTGGTCCTCTTCATGATGTTCCTTGAGTTCCATATTCTTTTGAGTCTGGCAAATGTCCCTCTCGCCTTGGACAGCCTGTTTTTCAGATCTTTCATTCCTCCTCCCTCCTTACAAATGGTAACCCCCAGATAATTAAACTCCTCAATTTCGCCGATATCTTGCCCATCTACTGCAACCTTCTCCTGACTCTTCCCGTTGATCCTCATCACCTTTGTCTTTCCTTTGTTGATTTTCAGCCCGACCCGTCAGAACATTACTCGAGAACAAAGGATAGCGACCTTTTTCTCAAATAAACCAATAACGTTGAAGAATACGAACAATAGATCTTAACAAAATTGAAAACCTAACAAAGTGCGAGGTGTTGCGAAACTCTCAAGAAACTTTGCCATTTGTTGATTGGTTGGTTTTGATCCTAAATTTTGTACGCATTTCAAAGGTCTCAGTTTAGTTGTCGCAAAATGTCTTTTCAAGCTAAATTTTTGAGAGGGATTTATAATTATGATAATTCGCCGTCAAGGACTGAATTTCTAAGAGTGTATATAACGCAGAGGAGTCAATAGTTTTTATGTTTTCACGTCAAACAGACCGTTACTTGACGTCACGAGAAGCTACCAGTCCATTGTCTCAGTTTAAGGTCAGCGCACACGAGGGGACTAGTTGCTGCGGCTAGTCCTTGCAACAAGTCACGGGGATAAGTCTCATCGTGTGAACTAGCCACCTTTGACACGAAATGTAGTCGCAGGGACCAAACTGGTCCCTGAGACTAGTCCCACGAATTCAAACTGGTTTGAATTTTTGGGACAAGTCCCGGCGACTTGCTCCTCAAAACGCTTCGTGTGGACTGTTCGTGGGGTAAGACCCTGCGACCGGTCCCTTTGTGTAAACTCTTCAGGGTACTAGTTGTAGGGACTAATCCCCTCGTATTTGCCGACGTTAAATTACGTTTTGATTGGTTAATTTTCTTCTAGGTGGCCCGGTTCGAGTAGTCGCACAGTAAGCATGTAGGAACAATGAACATAAATAGAAGTTTACAACACAGTATAAACTTCTGACATGCATAAGCCTAGGCTGGGGTTAATAGTTGAGACTTTACAATAGGATGAAAAACGCCGCGACCAATGGTTCAAAATACAAACAAGTTTGCTTCGGGGAACAAAAACATGTTTTGGTTTTTAAAACCACAGAAAAAAACACCTTGTGTAATCACAGTAAGTGGCAATTTTTCTGGGACGTTCAGCCCCAGAAAAACAGGAAATATCTCTCACCGTCGTCTGGATCTTCCAACAACACAAAACAGAGGCATCTGGTTTACATAGCAATGAAAACAAGAAATAACACGATCATCTTCACATGCAACTGACCAATCAAATTGCTGTGTCGGCTGAGGGACAAACGCGCATGTCCGCGCCGCGTCTTTGATCATTGGAACGCTTTCAGACCTTGCCATTCCTTTCAAACATCATCGTATACTCCGTACGTGAATATTTCGATGCAGAACATTTCATTCTATACTTATAACGTAGACATAACCTTTATCAGTCATACACATTCGACTGCGAACTATTATCCTTATTAGTTACTATTACTTAGAAGCGCAGAGACTTAGGCAGTGGGTTTGAGTTCAAGCAAGCAGTCTTTACTCTTACAGCGTCTCTATCAAACTAGGAGTATAAATGAGTACACGCAATTCAAACTGTTACCGGATATCAGGCAAAATTTTGGAAGTTCACCTGTGATAGACTGAAAACCCACCCCGGGGGAAGGAGGGTAGAAATACTCCTGTTGTCCCTTTATGATACAGGAAACTGAGCCTCTGAAAACAATAGTCTCCTTCTTGATTTGAAATTCTGAAGCGCAAGTATCTAAAGCATACTCTCAGTAGCAAATAGAATTACAAAGAGTTCATGGGACTTTAAACAGAGCAAGAAAGAACCGAAAATATTTGTGATTGACATTGTCTTTATTTGATACTCTCTAGTCCAGTTGTTCGTGTGACTGATTTCGTTGGCTATGACTCACGTTCACAAAATGAACGAATAAGATGTTCTATAAACGACCCGAGAACAACTAGTGCTTAGCTCTCGAAGCTTCTAAAATTTGTGATGTAAATTGTCGCTGATGGGTTTTAAAGTTCGTATCTTAACTGTTTTAGAGCTCTTTTATTTTCAGTGCCAGTCTTCAAACTGCTTCTATGAATTAGGCGTGAAAAAACCCGACCTCAGTCTTAAGTATAGTTCCCTTTAGGAAGGACGTCACTATTTCAAGCAAGAAGAAATAACTTTCTTGGGTTTTTTCTGAGTGCTTCGGCCCGTGCAAGCAAATCAGTTTTCAAAAGAGAGATGGTCTTAATTTAAAACAATAAGGTCGATAGAAAACTGAAAATTTACCTTTTTTTTCTATCATTTATATATGCATGAATTGTTTGGTGATAAGACATGCATACAATATGAGAACTCACTGATAGTCAAAACTCCATGGCAATTACAGATGAATTTAAACGAAATTAATGGGGCCTGGACGAGTTCGTACGCATTTGTAAGCTCTGATATCGATTCTGATAGGAATTAAGCTGACTGGAGGCTCACCAAGCTTCGCCGCCAAGTGGCGATTTTGAGTGACAAAGGTTGTATTTTAATAAGATCCCTAGTGCTATCATAAAACGGCTCTAAATATTGCGAACTTCAAGCTGAATGATATCTAAAACTGTATCTAACCAAAACTCGAGAGATAATACTTTACTACAGTCCTACAGCCATTTGTGCAAACTGAAGTTTTCAGAATATTAAATTATCTCCCTCAACACAGACCCGAGGAGGCAGACATTTTTAAGAGGAATGAACTACTCTTTCTAGATGCGTGTCTTGTTTATTCCATGAAGGTTTAGTTTTAAAATATTGTATTTCAGAACAACATCAGGAGATAGTGTCTTGCTGAAATGATAAGTTGACGAGAAGCATTCCAATTAGATTCACCGAAAATCGGCTACTTGGCCTTGATTAAAAGTTGATTTCAGCTTTTTGTTAAGAAATCCTCCGCTGACTGCTTCTGAGCTAAAAGAAATTGAGTTCTTGGCGAAGTAACTTTAAGGAATTAGAAAGTAAACGAGTACACGAAGATTTGGTCACCGTCGACAGTTTTTTTTACAAGTAAATGGTTATATATCTGTTGACGCTGGTCTTTCACGGGCGAGACAGACAGTACATCAAAATGCATCTCACGAGAATCAAAGACGTTAGGAAGCGAGTTCTGAACACACGAGGAGGTGCGAGGTTGCAGGGCGTTTGATCAACGAGACTTGTGAAGATACCTTTTAAATTT